GAAGATATCGGTATAGGAAAAGATTTATGAACATATCCTCAGTAGCACAGGGACTGGCCCAAAGAATCAACAATTGGGATCTCATCTTTTTAAAAATCTTCTGCACTGCCAGAGAAATCACAAGCAGAGCTAAGAGAAAATCCACAATGTGGGAAAAAAATTTTACCGGGTGTTCCTCAGACAATGGTCTACTATCTAGAATATATAAAGAATTCAAAAAAATCAGACCCCCCCAATATAAAGACCCAATTCAAAAATGGACATCTAAAATGAATAGAACTTTCTCACACAAATAAGTAGAAATAGCAAAAAAAAAGCATCAAATAATCATGAAAAAATATTCAACATCATTGGTCATTTGAGAGATGCAGATGAAAATAACACTGAGATTCCATCTCACTCCAGTAAGAGTGGCTGCTATCAAGAAATCAACCAATAACAAATGCTGGTGGGGTTGTGGGGAGATAGGTACCCTTCTACATTGTTGGTGGGAGTGCAGACTGGTGCAACCACTGTGGAAATCAATATGGAGATACCTCAGAGAACTAGAATTAGAAGTCCTATTTGATCCAGTTATTCCTCTGCCAGGTATCTTCCCAAAAGAATTAAAAGAATCATACCACAGTGATATATGCTTATCCATGTTTTTAGCAGCACAGTTTGTAATAGCTAAAACTTGGAATCAGCCCAATTGTCCATGATCTGGAGACTGGATAAAGAAGAATTTTTTAAATATATATAATAATACTCAATTATATATATATAATATATAATATATTATATATATAATGGAGTACTCAGTCATAAAGAATGAAAAACTAGAGAGATTTATAGCTAAGTGGATGCACATTGAGGCCATACTCTTAAGTGAAATTAATAACTTACACGTGTAAATTATGAATGGCTTTTCTGATGTGAAAAACTAAAAGTATAAATAAGTATTAAAATGTGTAATTGGTACTGTGTAATAAGGAAGAAAAGTCTAAAAGAGTAGAGGAAGTGGGAGGAGTAGGGGAAAGGGAAAAGGGAAAAGAAATAATATGTGATAAAGAAAATTTGGAAACTGTCATTGTAAACAGGGAAGGGTGTGGGGCTGAGGGGAGGGCTGGGAAATGGGGGAAAATAAGAACTCGGTAAGTCATGTAAAGGTGCAAGATCCCAATTATCAATGTAACTGTGTTATATACCTAATATGTACCAGTACCTTTAATAAAGATAAAAGTATACAAGAGTCACAACTGTGAAACATGAACATGAAGATGCTGTATGGAAAAGGGCATCCATAAAAATAAATGATAGATCAACCGATATCTCCCATATATATGTATGTGTATGTATGTATACACACACACACACACACACACACACACACACGCACACACATATATATCTGCTTTTGAGACAGGGTCTTACTATGTAGTTTAGACTGAATTGGAACTCACTATGTAGCCCAGACTGGTCTCAAACAGCGATCCCCCTGCCTCAGGCTCCTGAGTGTACATCTGCTTTTTAATGCTGCACAATGCATATTTCCATACTAGGCTCTGACAGGTCATGTGATTGTGAATATACTTCTACAGGTTTGACCATAAGACACTTTATTAGCTGAGGAGATAAATCTACATGCAGCAAAGATTCCAGAACATGTTTCATGATAATTTTGTGTTAAGCAACAGTAATTATACAGAAAAAGTGAAGGAAATACACTTTCTATGAATGAGAAAATAAATGTAATGTTTCAAGTATCTGAATTAATAATATTGTGGAATATCCTGATTTGCATCTCTGCCTACAAATCTGTGGAAAAGAGAAAGAACGAAAGGTTAGAGAGCAAAAAAGTAGAAATTGTTATACATGGAAAAGAGCATCTCATTCAAATTATACAATGAAATTGTTAATGTTTTGGGGTAAAACCCAGATTTTTAGGGAGTACCAGAGATAGTTTACACATGATACGTATGGTAGGAAAATAAACAAGAGGCGCTCAGAGGATTTCATCAAGTACAATAATTGCTTACTTATCTATATTTAATGTTCTATTTTTATCCCCAAAAAGCTTTAATTTTCAAAATAAGTATTTTATAGAGCAAAGATAAAGGTAAAAAAATACTCAGTGTGGTCCATAAAACATTATTAAATGTTTTAAACATGGTTTTGTGGAAATAAATGAAGGCAAGCCAAATAAGAACATAAACTATTTCATTAGAATTTACTAGAGCAAATTAATCAGCTGCCACTAGTCATGTTTGACAGAGACTCAAAGGCAGACAGAAGGAGGGGAAAGCTATACGGGAGCGAAAAGGGAAAGCTTGCAGTATTCCCTGATTGGAGGCTTTGGGTCTGAGGGAGCTATAGGGTTAAACAGACCCTGGGAAAGCATGTATGAAGCAGGGGGCCTCCAAAAGGGTCCGAAATCTTGGTGACTTAAATGAGATGTTACCAGACCAGCTAGTGAGAGAAATGTGAGTCTGGATAAGCTTTGGAGGTAGAACATACACAATTTCCTGACATAGTAGATTTGGATTTTGACAGAAACCGAAATCAAAGCTCTCTGTAAGGTTTTAGCCTAGGAAACTAGAAGCTCAGAGCTGAAATTGATGGAGATATAAAAGGCTGTGGGTGGGACAGGATTGGCAGGGGTGAAAATGAAGAGCTCAGTTTCAGACACACATAGGATTGAGAGGTCACACATGCCCATATAGAGGTCAAGAAGGCAGCTGCATATAAAAGTGAAGCTTTCAGGAAGGGGTCAGCAAGAGAGATTGAGAGAGGAGCTGGTAAAGCATAAAAGAACAAGTCCCTTTCACCTCCTACAAATTGGATGTAGAATGCACAAGATCTCAGATACCTCACTGTTCTGTGTAGTTGTCCCTTTAATATATGAGATATATATATAATGAGAATGCTGAGGTCAAGTAGTCCTTGGGTCACATGACTGGTAAGTCATCTGCTCAGGCTCCCATAACATTACCACAGGCTAGATGATTAAATAAATGAAGATTTATTTTCTCATGGTTTTGGAGGGTGGAAATCCAAGGGATAGGTGTTCACAGGGCTGGTTTCTCTTGATCCCTTCTCCTTACCTTGCAGATGTGCCTTCTTGCTCTGTCCTCACACACAGCTTTACTTCTGTGCCCCTGCAATTCATTGCCGCTGCCGCCGCCTCCTCCTCCTTTCTTTCTGAAGACACCAGTTAGATTGGATTATGGCTCAATTATCTCTTGAAAATCTCTGATTCCAAATAGAATCACATTCTGAGGCCCTGGAGGTTAGAGCTTCAATGTATAAATTTGAGGGGGAGATAATTCAGTTCACAACAAGAACTGAATCTAGATTTTCCAATTCTAAGTTCATTACTATTCCCACTGCAACACAGAGTCAATAAGTCATATTGGCTCAAAATATCACCTACTCAGGTCTTTCCGGAGCACCTTATTGAAAATCACAAATTCTCCACTTCCTTAGGGCAATTGCCATTCCTCTTTTCTGCACAACTTTTTTCATTCATAGCCACCCCTTTAAAATATCTTATATATTTTCATTTATTTTGCATGCTGTCTTATTTCTACCATCAATATGTAATCCATGAGGATGGGGATTTTTCTGTTTTATTTGCTGCCATATCTCTGGCACACACACAGCCTCACATATCACAGGTGTCCAATAAATATTTTCAATTGCAGGAATAGATGTGTGCATGCATAAATAAATCTCCGTAAAATATCTTAAGGCACTTGAATTCTGGGACAAGATAAGCATTCTCTTAGCAAACCCAGAATAGAGTTATATACATTCTGAAAACAGGACCTCCATCTACCCTGTCATATAAATAATCCATACACAAGAGCAGGCCATGAGCAATATCCCAGAACCACAGTGTTTTTGTTCCTTTGCTGCTTTTTTACAATGTACTACTTGGCTTTCCAGACTACTGGAGCCTTCCAGGACAGAATTCATACTCGTATCTCTGCTGGGCAACCATCAAGCATGTGATGTCACCAAACAGAAACCATAGAGAAACAGTGGCTAATTTAGCAGGAGTCAATCAAATTCTGGAACACTGTTCCAAGGCCTCACTGCAAAATATACCTTGAAAATGACAACCTGCCGGGGATTTAGCTCAGCGGTGCCACTGTCTGCCTCATAAGCCCAAGGTCCTGAGTTCAAGCTCTAGTACCCAAAAAAAAAAGAAAGAAAAAGAAAAAAATGACAACCTGTGATCATGCGCGTGACAGTGTACACCTTTATATATGGCACTCAAGACAGATTATCTTCAGCTGAGAAGAAAAAGTGTTTGATTAATTGATTGATTGATTAATTGATACCAGGTAGAACTCGGGACCTTATACTTGCAAGGCAGGTGGCAGAACCAGTGAGCTAAATCCCCGGCCCAAAAAGTTCTTTTTAAAATTACAATACTCAATTAACTTCTATCTTCTGGTGATCCATCTTGTGGTGTGGACTGCAAAAAAAATAGGAAGGGAAAAATAGGGAGGGAGAAGGAGAGAGTGTAAGTAAATATAACAATAGTGAAAAAGAAGAGAGAGAGAGAGAGAGAGAGAGAGAGAGAGAGAAGAAAGGAGGAGGAGGAGGAGGAGGAGGAAAAGGGGAGGGGAGAAAGAAATAAGTACAGAGCATGTTAGAACACCTAGGAAGAAGCAGAACCATTGTGTCCATAAATTAGTGTTTCTTGTGTCCCTTCTGGATTAGTCTCCTATGGCTGCCAGAACAAATTACCACACTCTCGGTCCCAGAAACAGCAGCAAGCTACTGTTTCACAGGAGTAGAGGTAGAAGTTTGAATCAGAATGTCAACAGGGTCACACTTCTTTGGCAACCTACAAGGTAATCCTTTTTTGCCACCTCCTAGCTTTTGGGGGATTGCTAACAACTTTTGTCATTCCTTAAGGCTGCAAAACTCCAGTCTCTGCCTTTGTTATCATGTGACATTCTCCCTCTGTGTCTCTCTTCACAGGTAACTTTATAATGGCTCCAGTCATGTTGCAGTAGGAGCCCACCCTACCGCAATAGGCCCTCATCTTGATGGATGACAGCTGCAGTAGCTCTAACTCCAAACAGGATTGCATTCTGACGTAATGAGGATTAGAATTTCAACAAATCTTTCTTAGGAGGTAAAACACAATTTTCCCCATAATGCCGAGAGAAACTTAGAAGTATTTAATTAAACAAGTGGTTCTTAAACTTCTTTATATGGGACCAGAGGTAGCCTTTTAAAAATCTTACATGCATCCACCATATGAAAGAACTTGTGGTTTTTGGAAGCAAGTAGTATTACTGTCTAGAATGGGGTGGCAACTAGAGGTAAAAGGGAAAGATTAAATGAAAGTCAGAGCTGACCTTGTGTTAGTCACCTTTCTGTCACTATAACAAAAATCTGAGATAGTAAACTTATAAAGAGTAGAGGTTTAATTTGGCTCATGGTTTTAGAGGTTGCAGTTCTGTGAGGTGGTGGACCCACTGGATTTAGGCCTCTAGCAGGGGTGCCAGGTACCACTGCAAAAGCGTGTGATAGAATAAAACTGTTTGTATTTTGGCCAAGAAAGAAAACAGAACAAGGAAGGTACTGGGGTCCTACCATCTTCTTGAAGGGCACACCCCCAAGGACTTGAGGACCTCCCACTAGGGTCTCCCCTTAAAGGTACTCCCATCTTCTGAGTGCCGTCCTGGGCACCAAAACCTCCAGAAACACTCAGGATGCAAACAATAGCAGATCCCCTGATGAAAATATGCTGTGAAATGAAGAGGATGGTACATGTTGCTTTCCTTACTTTAGTTCCAATGGATAAGAAAAATGAAAAAAATTTAATCGAGTTAAACTAAAATTGGGCTGGCCCACATAAAGGTTGAGACGGGAATCTTTGGAGTTGTCTCCAATGCGCCTTCCCGTCATCTCCTCAAACAACCTAGAGGTGATTCCACACCTGCTTAATTCAGTCCGCTTCACTCCAACAGATAAAAGAATTGAAACTTGAAAATGAGATTTGTCCACAGTTCTTCAGACATTCAAGGGTGTACAACCTAATTCTTTTCTCATACAGCGTTCCTGAGCTCTGAGACTAAGTGGAAAGCCAGGAAGAGATGCTAATCTGGATGACAGATCCCCAGCCTGCACTGTAGAAAGGTAGCTTTCCTTTATTTTGTGTAACTCGGTTCAGTGGCTCAGTCCATGTATTGTATAACCCCCAACCCGTGAGTTGTTCCTATTCGCCGGGTGGAGGAGGAAAAGGACCTACAAAGGATAGATGTTAAGATGTTACTTGCCTGGTCTTGTGCTAAAACATCTGCATGACCAGAGAGTCTTAGAAATATCAGTTCATGGCTGTTTTTCTATCCTAATCTGGACCCTGTCAGCTAATTCCATGACCATTTAGAAATAAGAAAAATATTTGGCTCTTTCTTGAGCCCAGTGAAACCCTAAGAAAACCTCTGGTGATGCCTCAGGCCGTGTACCTGGGTACACACACTGCAGTGAACATCACTCCCTCCTAAGAACTCAAAGTAAGGGCACTGTGTAATGTGATTTCCTACAGTCAGAGGGAGAGAAGCTGCTAGCCCAAAAGTGGGAAAAGCATCCTCTACCATCATAATTCTCCCATGTCTATTGTTTATGTTATCAACTCTGCAGGGTTTTTAAGCTCAAAACCTCCTTTCTGCACATTTCTGGTGTACAATTCTTTGACCGATAGAACAAACGTCTGAGCCTTGCTTTTATAGGCAGTGCCAGCATAAAAGGTGAATTGCCCGGAATGAAAAGCACATGGCTTGATGATTTAAAATGTGACCCCCATGACAAAAACATCACATTAATAGCTAACATCTGCAAACCCTAAAATAATTTTCAAATTGCATTCTGTATGGAAAAGCTTTTTGATTGAATGGATTTTTTTTTTCTCAGAAAACAGACTACCTGTTTCTTATTCAAATTAAGTGAGATTATGAATATAAACCTTATATAGCACAGTTCCTAGAACATGGGATTATTTGGTAAATGTTAGTCAGTAGCATTCACAAAATTATTGTTTTATGAGGCATTCAGGGTCAGCAACTGCATGATCTGTGATTTTCCTGACCGCACTGTGCCAGCCATCTCTGAACTCCTCCCCCTTCCCTATATGGAAGCGGAGGACGCCTCCTGCATTCTAAAATCTTTTGAAGTCGTCCTTTTTTATCTTTGTCAAAGAAAATGTTTCCAAAGTAACTAAAAATCATAGCTAGAACCATGCAGCCCAAAAAGTTGAATTAAATTGTGACTATTGTAAAGCCTTTGAAAGAAGAGTGTGGTGATGAGCTAAAAATGAACTTTCAATATGTTATTGGGGGAAAAACACAATTGCCAAGGCGACCCAAGCAGGCAACATTTTCCCCTTTCAAACACATTATGCAGTGAGGATGTTTCTGATGTATTTTGTCATTCAATTCCCCTTCCATCTCTTGGCCTGAAGCCACAGAGGCTTCCCAGCCACTTGACCAGACCATCAGAATTCTTTCTTTGCCCCTCGTTTTTCTGTTGACAGACTTCACACTGTAACAGCCTCATGAAAATGTGCTTTCTCCAGCGGCTCCTTACTGCCTCTGAGAAATCCCTGAGGGTTGTTGGGCGGCTTCTATCAAAGAAAAGATCTAGGGGAAAGTTCAGCTGGGCTTGGGAAGTCAGACTTGGGTGGTTTCTCCTCATTGTGCATGCCAGCTCGCAGTAAGTGGGAAGGCATTCTTCAAAGTTGGGCTCTTCAAAGATTTCCCAGCGCTGGAGGGTTTTCTCCAAGACTCGGGATCCCTGCTGATATTCCTCTTCTGAAAGGTCACAGAACTAGAAAGCTTGTTTCCTTTTAAGATGCCACCCTAGAGAGAGGTTTTTATCACATTAGACTAGTTCCTGCTGTTCAGGGGAGGCTTCAGAGCACCAGCTTGAAAAAGAGGCTTCTCTTTTGCATGCCATTTTTGGAAAAGTTCCCCACTTTTTCTCTCAGTGGGCCCTCATTCTACCAATTTATGCCAATAATTCAGTCAGATTCATTGTTTGATATGCACCTACTCAAATGTCTGCTGTAAACCAGAATAATTAATGAGATCCATATTGTCAGAACAAACAGCTGTACAGCAGTTCACCCTTATCTGCAGTTTTGCTTTTTGCTGTTTCAGTTACTCAAGGTCAATTGTAGTCTGAAAATATTAAATGGAAAACTTCACAAATAAACAGTTCGTAAGTTTTAAACTGTATCATTCTGAGCAGCACGGTAAAACCTCTAGCCATCCTGCTTTATCCTGCCCAGGCGACTCATCCTTGTGTCCAGTGGATCAACACTGTACATGATACCCATCCTTTAATTCACTCAGCCACTTTTATTACACACACTGCTGTTAAGTAACCTATATTTTTATTAATTTATTGACTTTTGGTACTGATGACTGAACCCAGGGTTTTCACAGTGAACTACATCCCTAGCTCTTTTAATTTACTTTTTAAATTTTGAGACAAGTTCTCTCACTAAGTTGCTAAGCTGCCCAGACTGGACTCAAATTTGCAGTCCTCCTGCCTCAGCCTCCCAGAGCATAGATATCTTAATTATCTATAAAGACTATATAGTATTTTTAGCATTGACCTTGATTTTTGTCCCTACCTGTCCAGTGTCTTCCTATTCCTGGTGACCTTAGAGTGTTTCCAGTCACTCAGACATTTAGCAGGTACTGTTAAGCATCTCCCATGTAGCAAGACACTGTTAGGCTTTGATAATTATCACTTAGTACCAGTTCACTAGAGGCCCCGCTTAAGTGAAAACTGAAAGATCAAATTCAGCACTCGCACGAGGTCCTTGTTAGTAATCAAATTTACTGCTGCTAACTAACTCCCATGGCTTTTAAGAGTTATGTATTCTTATTTTTTCCAAGCCAGAATCTGTTTCTTGCGATGTTGCATGTAATGGTAGTGTTTGTAGTGTTTATCAACACTCCTGTTCTTACTGTGACACAGAAGTAGGCTTCCTTAAACAAGGAAATAAAAGGAGGCCTGCTGCATCTATCTGACTTCAGCAATTTCAAGATTTTTCCTTTGAGCTTAACATGGATAGAAATGTATGAGTAGCATTCTGCAAATTCACCAAGCTTGGTTTTGTCAGCCAGGAAATGAATAAGATCATGGAGCTGTATAAAGGGGGAAGCAGAGCTGCTAAGTGTGAAGTTACCAGCCCTTTTTGCAGGCCTGAGGTTGACTGTGAGGACCTCAAGCTTTGCCAAGATTAGTGAGAAAACCACTGGTGCACTAGAAAGGCATAGACAGAAGCTCTCCTTGAGTCCTGGCTGGTAGAACTGTGTATATACCGATAACAGAGGTTCTAGTGTCCAAGTCCGGATTCAAATCCTAACTACTAGTTTTTTGGCTAATATTGGAAAGTTATTTTACTTTCATGCTTCAATTTTCTCACCTATAATATGTTGATGATAACTGACCACAAAAGTTTTTGGTGAATACTTTCTGAAATAATACACACAGTGGTTAGAACAGCTCCTCCTACACAGCAAACCCCTGGAGGAGGCTAGTTATGTGATAAATGTTTGAGATTGCTCATCAAGTATTATTTACAGCTCTTTTCTTTGAAACAGTGCAGTTGAGTTCCTTGGCCTCTGGTGGTAGAAGAGACCACATGCCTACTTTAAGCCAGTGGCTTGTGTGCAGAAGTAAAAGGACTACCTTTTAAGACCAACCACTTAATTACAAGCACAAGGTTATCCAGATTCTCTTTTCCCTTCAACCAGATACCATTCCCTTTAGACACAATTTCGCAAGACTGGATACTGGAGTAAGAATGACAAACCTGAGCTTTTGGCTGACTAGCAACATACATGAGGAAAGAAAAAACCCTTATTATTTTAAAGCAACTGAGATTTGAGTGTTAAATTCACAGATCCTGACTCATGAAATTTTAATGATAAGCATGTACTAGAGATAGAGAGAAAGAGAAAAAAATAAACTTTGTAACAAATATGGTAGCATATATACCCAGGTACAATTCATATACCAAACAATTTACCCCAAGCGTACCATTCATTTTTAGTAAGTTTACAGATGTTTGCAGCCATTACCAAAGTCAATTTGAGATCACTTTCCTGTCCTGGGTGAGAAACCCCATACCCTTTAGCTGTCAACACACAGCCCAAAGCCCAGCAACCCATAATCTCCCTTCTGTCTCTATGGATTTCTGTGTTCTGGATATTTTATACAGATAAAATCATAAAGTATGTGATTATTTATGATTGGCTTCTTTCATTTAATGTGTTTTCAAGATTCATCCATGTTGGACCATATGTCATCACTTTATTTCTTCTTATGGCTTAATAGTATTATACTGTGTGGCCATTCCATACTTCATCATTCCTTCATTGACAGTCTTTTGTCTTATGTCTACATTATAGTTATTCTGAGTGATAATTATGTAGATATTCATGCGCAAGTTTTTATGTGGGCAAATGTATTCCTTTAACTTGAGGGGATACCTAGGAGTGGAAATGCTGATTTATGTGGTAATTCTGTGTTCCACCATTAGAAGAACTGCCAGGTTATTTTCCAAAGTGGCTGTACCACTGTATATTTCTACCATTTCATGGTCCTCCCACAATTTTTCATACCCACTAGTAGTGTATGACAGTTGGAATTTCTCTTCATTCTTATCAGTGCTTATCATTTGAATTTTTTTTAAATTTTAGCCATGCTAGTGAGTGGGTAGTGGTATTACCTTGTTGTTTTAATTTGTGCCTTCGTGATGACTAATAATGTCTAGTGTCTATTCATTTGCTTACTGATCATTTGTATATCTACCTGAAGAAATGCTCGTTTAAAGATTAGACCTTTTGTCCCATTTATTATTGACTTATTTTTTTCTTTGTTATTGATTGAGTTGCAAATGTTCTTTATATATTCTGAATATGAGCTCCTTATTGGCTACACAATTCACAAATATATTCTCACATTCTGTGTGTTATTTTCTCAACATTCCTTATTATGTCACTTGAAGCATGAAAGTTTTTCATTTAAAAGGTATCCAGTTATCTATTTTTATCTATTATTGCTCATTTTGGGTGATGTATTTAAAAATCCTTTATCAAATTCAAATCATAAGAATTTGCCCT